TACTGTGATTGGAATTCCCAAGCCAGGCAAGCCTCTCAACCTCCCCTCCAGCCATCGCCCCATTAGCCTCCTCAAGGCAATGGGCAAGCTCTTCGAAAGAGTCATCCAAACGCGTATGAGGCGCTATCTGTTTCCCACAGACGGCGACCCTCTTATCATTCCCCATCAATTCGGTTTCCGAGCCAAACACTCATGTCCCCAACAGGTTCACCGCATTGTGGAATATATCCTCAGCGGCTTCTACCCCCGTCGTCATAAGACCATCGCGGTCACATTGCATACAGGCCTCATCTATAAGCTCTACAAAATAGGTCTCCCGGATCGTCTAGTTCGTCTCGTGGCCTCCTATTTAAAACATCGTACCTTTCGTTTTAGACACGAAGGTACGCTATCTTCACAGCGGACTCTCAAGGCTGGTGTCCCTCAGGGCTCAGTACTTACTCCTCTGCTGTACATCCTGTTCACCAACGACATTCCCATCCCGTCGAAAGGTGTTCAACTCTCCCTCTTCGCAGACGACACTGCCATCTACTGCAAAGGTGTCTCACTACCCTTCATACGGAACAAGATTCAAAAGTCAGTTGATGACCTAGGAGCTTGGTTCAAAAAATGGCGCATCGATGTGAACCCGGAGAAGAGCTCCGCCGTTCACTTCGATTATAAACGACGCCGTCTCAAAAACACTCCACCAATACGTATGCTAGGGACCCCTGTCCCCTGGCATACGACCGCCAAATATTTAGGTGTCCTTCTAGACACAGGGCTTACTTTCAGGCCCCACGTCAAAAGAGTAACCCGTCACGCACGGTTTTATCTGAGTAGGCTCAACAGTATGTTGGGCCCACACAGTAAAATGTCCCTTCGAAACAAGCGTACCCTTTACAAGGTAGGTATACGACCAGTCATGTCCTACGCGGGCCCCATCTTTGCCCACGCAAACCCTAACATTATAAATGAACTCCAAATAGTTCAGAACCTCTTCTGCCGTCGAGCTGCGAACGCACCTTGGTACGTCCGTAATGCCGACCTTCATCGGGACTTAGAGCTCCCAACAATTCAACAATTCCTTAAAAAACTCTCTGAGAACTTCTTCAAAGTCTCAGAGTCGCACCCAAATCAATTAATTCGTGAGGCAGCTTCTTATGCAGCCCCACCGCCCTTTCGCTTTCGTGTCCGCAGGCCGAGAAATTCTCTCTCGGACCCGCTTAATAAACTGTCGAACGACCTGAACTGTCTCCTGGCGGCTCAGGCCAACTCTAATTAAACTAAATTATTGTATTAACCAACTTTAATTTGCCTTCGTAGGCACTCCCTCAGCGGCTCTTAGCCGCCTGCGCCCTCTTTTCCCAAAAGAGGGTCGCTCATGATAAGGCACAATAGAGCTTAATCAGCCGGTTGCCTGTCCCCAAAGGCGGTTTTTAGAGGGTATCACTTAGGGTCCCCGGTAGGACAGTGAGCCCCTCATAACCACGATAGACCGGCTATCGTGATATGCGTAATGCATTTTCCGCCTCCCTACGTATAGGGTAGCCCTTTAATTGCTTCGGGCGCAAAAAAAAAAAAAGTAACCACTCGTGTGTTATACTGTCAAATGCTTTCTGATAGTCTACCCATTCCATACATAATTTTTTGTGGTTCTGTTGTGCATCTTCCAGTATAGCCTTATTAATCATGAAATGATCTTTGCAACCTCTAACGTAATGTCTGCAACCTCTTTGTTGAGGAGATATAATATTGTTCAGGTCACAGTGCGTGTAAAGTTCCTTGGAAATTATGGACGTTAAAAGTTTGTACATGGTAGGTAAGCACGCTATCGGTCTCCAGTTCTTTGGATCTAGCGTGTTCTCATTTTTAGGGATCAATATTACCACTACAGTTGTAAACCATTGCTCAACAGATTCGATTCCTTTCAAAATTCTATCAAACAACTGAGCAATGTATTTATGTGTACTGGTAAGATATTTAAGAAAATAGTTATGTATTTTATCAATACCCGGCGTTTTCCAATTATGTAATCCGCTTATAGCATTTTTTACTTTATCTTCATTTATTTCGTTAAACGTGTGTTCTACTATTTTATCCATTGACTCTTCTATTTCCTTAATCCATCGAGCTTCAGTATTGTATGATACTGGTTTTGATAGAATGGATTCCCAAAAACGTTGTACATCATTTTTAATGGAATTTGTGTTGGAATTTGTTGCTGACCATCAAGATTTCTAAAAAGTTTATGTTGATTTTCTTGAAACAGCTTATTTTGTAATTTTCTATTGTTTATATCGTCATAACTCTTAAGTCGTCCAGCCAGTGCTTTTATTTTTTGTTTAACTAGTTCTACAGTGTAGTCTAAATCTTGATCATTTCGTATATTATATTTATTAGATAACCTATTTTTAAATCTTATCATGTTTCTAGTATAATAGTTTCCTCTCTGAATTTCTACTAGTCTGCCGAAATCTCTTCTAAAATCTTCTATTTTTTTCTGTAGTCTTAATTTCCACGGTGCATTTTATTTCAATTTTATTGCAGTCAGGCTAGTCGGCTTAAGTGTAATTGCTTTTTGATTATTTGCAGTGATTACTGTTTTAGCTGCTGCATAGATAATATTATTTATTTCCCTCAAGAACTGGTGCGACTCTAAAAGTTTTGGCAAAAAGTTATTAATTTTATTTAAATTTTCGCAAAACTGTTAACAAAATTTAGCCTTTGGTAAGGAATCCCTATTCTCGATAGATATTTCTTTAGTTTCCGCAAGAGTTTGTAGGAATTTCAGAATAAGGGGATCTTGGTTGTCATCTACTCTGATATCAGGACTATCAAATGTATATCTATTTTGATGTTCTGGAATAGTTTCTAAAACTGTACATGTTGTAAGTGGTTGGGTCCTTGTAAGTATATCTGATAATAAATGAGAATTTTGTGCGTTATCCGTAAAGTTATGATTATCAGAGATCTGTTTGTCTGGACTATCACATATTGTAGTTATATGTGAAGTTGTGGATGTAAGTAGGTTGAGATCAGCCATGTTCTGTGCTACTGCTATATTTCGTTCAGCTCTAGATTTAATTTCGTCTAAAACCTGGGTTGACAAGAATTTCCTAGTTATTATACTTCTAGCTTGGTTTGCAAGTGTGTTTCCCGTAAATTTTAGTGTTTTAGGATTATTAGGATTCTTATCTTTGAACAGTTTTTCAAATCTTTTTATGTAACCAGGACCTTCAGATTTCGCTTTAAAATAACAGAACATAAGTTCATGAAGTTCTTCTTGGGACCACTTTCTCCTAGCATCTTCGCTTACTGCTACGCTTTCTATGGTCGCTTCTGATGTACCGGCAGAGATGTTTCTAGGAGGTTCATCCCTTCTCTGCAAAGTATCACCAGGATCGGCTGTTGCATTTGAGGATCCTCGTCTTCCCCTCTGGATCTCTCCGTCCCTCGCCCGCCTGTTCAACGAGGTCCGGCTGGCTCGTATTGCTACACGACCGTCACCAGCTCCGATCGTGTCCTGGCGATCACCCCCAGGCAGCGGCATTAAACGTTTATTCCTATTTTCCATTTCTCCATTTTGGGTTGCCATAACCTTATTAGCTTGTAAGTTTTGAAAAATACAAGTGTCCCCCTCCCACGTGAAGTCGGTGTTCGCTTCGGACGTAAAGGTTGGGCTTTGGGAGGGATATATTATATTATATTATATAATATTATATTATGTTATATTATGACACCTTCACGACTTACGTCGGTTTTAATAAATACCCCGTCCTGCATTCCACAGAAAAAAGGTATTTATATATCCCCATTAAAGTGTTTTAAATTAATATAATGTTGTAGTTTTGTATAGTACTTTTTTCCAATATTGAGATATATTTTAATGAAAATTATTACGCAAATTAAAAGATTCATTCAAGATGTAATTTCTGTATTATGTTCGACTTTTCTCATTCTTTTCCTCCCTCGTCCTCGTTTTTCTCGAGAATTTAGTGACTGCCTTTTTTAAAACAGTAACTGAGACGCAGTCATGGACGTTTGTGATGTTAACTTATCTAAAGATAATCCTAAAATCGGATTATCATTTATTATTAAAGTTTGCGTTGTAAACACTTATGCAATAGTTTTTAAAAATAAAAATGCGAACATCGTCGATACAAAGCCATAGGTTTAACGATTGCCGCGAGTAATTTTTTTTAATATTTAGTTGTCTATTAGTGTAAAAATAATTAAAAAAAAAAAGAATTTGAAATAATTCAAAGGGATGCAACATCTTTTTGCAGCGCCATTGAATCGAGCCGATCGGAAAGCACTCGGTCGTCGACGATTCGAGACGCTCTGCGCTTTTTTTTTTTATAGGATAGGGTGAAAAGAGCACACGTCACTGATGGTAAGTGGTTGTGTGGCCGGGTGGGGAGAGGACTTTTCTTTTTGCACTCACATAGAATAGAGATTAATATATGTGAGGTGTTTCCGTGAGATTTACTTCTTTTGCAGATGTTAGTATAACGGGATGCAGTCAAGTGGAAAGAGCTGGCAGTGGGGAGCCCCTGCCCAGAAACGGGATCAGTATTCCATGTGAGGTCGCACTTGCGCCTTGTAAAGTTGCAGGCGGTGTGCCGGCATGAAATACTGTCCAGCTCTGCTGGGCACTAATTGTATCTATCCTATCTATCCTCAACCGTCTTCATCTTCTGTGTATTTATATATTTATAACTTAATTTTCAAATTTATGATCCTTGCACCAATCTATTGCTTGTATGTCTTTTCAAAGACCTTGATTCACTAAGCTCTATTCCACCAGAGCTGTGGTGAGCGTAGCTAGAATAATGAAATAAAATTTTATGGGTGGTTTGTTTCTCGCGCACTGCTTATCTACCTTGAATCTCTCTGGTGGAAACTCAGCCTTATTAATACTGCCTTATCTAAAGATTAAAACTTGAAATTCTGATTAACTTTAAGTATAAAAGTTTGCGTTGTAAATACTGATACATTAGTTTTTTTTTTTAATAAACATGCGAACATCGTCTGTACCTATTATTTTAGCCATAGGCTTGGTGGTTGCCACAGGTAATTTTTTTTAATATGATTATTCTATTATGATATTGAAAAAAGGATGCTTCAAAATTTCTTTTTATTTTTTATTGTGTATATTTCCTGTTTCTTTATATGAGGAGATATGAAGTGTTTTTGGGAATTAAAAGTCATAAAAGTGAGTTTAATAAACTACGGTAACTTGTGGCGTCTACCCGTGTTCACTTCTGCATGTACACCTATTATTATTGAAAAACTATTTAGGAAAATGCCATGACCATGTGCAATTTATGCATTTAAAATGCTTCCACATTATAGGCGAAATATTAATTGTATTGGTAATATTTTAAAAGAAAAAAAAAGGATTGTATTAAAGCGTTCTAGAGTTGATGATGTCATCGTTTTTTTTCTTGTATACCATTATAATATTTAGCAACATTTTAGCCCATGACAGGTGCACTATAATGACCATAAGCTACCTGCATCCTCGGACATTTTCTTACTAGATCAAGCTTTCACTAGTGGCGGTGTAGACAAATAGCGATAAATATACGTAACGATAGTTGATAGTAGACGACTGTAAACACCTTGTCGTAATAAAGTTATGGAGTAATGAGGTATGAGTTCCTTTAGAGTAATTAATAAAATTGTGTTCACAGCACTGCCCGAGAAACAAGAAAGAATTGTTGGTGGCGCTGAAACTACGATTGAAAACTACCCCTATATTAGCGCAATTCTGTTTAGCCCTAATTATGCCGACTACATACAAGTTTGCGTGGGGAACGTACTCAATAATAGAGCCATCCTTACTGTTGCTCACTGTTTCTAGTAAGTTGGTTTATTTTGATGTATTATTTCTGTAAAATTATTTTCCTTTAATCCTCTTGATTACACCAGATTGTGTTTTGGTGTAGTTTATTAAACTTTAGGCACAGAATCAATGTAAATAATTTATGATCCGCATTGATTCTATGAATGTAAATCATTCATCACAGTGTGGTAGCTCTTTTGCTAAGCGCTCACTATAAATATCGCCGGTAAGTAAAATATCGTGAGGAAACCGGCGTGTCGAAGAAATAAAAAAAATATTTTGAAGACATATGACGTTCGCCAACTAGCATCAAGCGCGGCGGATATTTCCTTGCCCTAAAACACTCTCAGGAATCAGAGGAGACATGTGCCTAGCAGCGGGACGTACATATGCTGTAACTTTAACTTTTGTTTTACTTTTAAACCATTTATGATTAACATTACTACTAATACATGATTTTGATCAATTTTTGTTTTTGCAGTGGTATAGAAGCTCTTATTAGGTGGCGAATCCGTGTAGGATCTTCTTACGCAAACAGCGGAGGTAACGTCCACTATCCCAGCCGCATCATCATCCACCCCAATTTTAGTCGGCCCGGATTTGAAAACGATATTGCAATCCTGCACTCAGTCTATCCTTTTTCATTTAGTAACAGTGTTAGTGCTGCCTCAATAGCAGGTGTAAACTATAATCCTGGAGATGACCAAGTCGTTTATAACGTCGGGTGGGGAAAAGAATCAGTAAGTTTAATCAAAACTTTTTCTTTAATAAGTGATATTATCACGAGAACTTTTTAAATATAACTAATACTTATAATTTTTCAGGTTGACCAACCAAATTCTGAACAATTGCGAAGCCTTCAAGTTTTGACTATTAACTATAACACATGTATAAATATTTATATTCCGGTTGCTATATATCCAACTGAGAATGTGATTTGTTCCGGCTGGCATGATTCAAGCAGTGGTGCAAATCAGTGCCAAGGGCCCTCTGGTAGTCCTCTTGTACACAATGGTGTTATAATAGGCTTATACTCATTTGGATGGCAATGTACTTATGCCAACTACCCTGCCATCAACACTAAAGTCTCAAGTTACACATCCTGGATCGTATCGAATGCCTAAAGCCAGGTTTAGACGAAGCCAGTGCTGGCCGCCAGTGAAACTGGCAGCCAGCGTTGGTTGCCACCACTGGCGTGAATAGAGCGCCTGCCTATTTTTCAAGCCAGTGACCTCCACCCGCATGCCCCGCAACCCTCGCGCCAGAATAAATAATTTGTAATATAATAATTTAACTAGTGATATTGTACAAATTTATATTAAACATTATTTTTCAGTTAGTTTAAAAAGTCGGTAATTGAATACAACGATTTACAAGAATTATCTAGGAATTAAATGAATCAATTTGGCCTCATCCAAACAACACGGGCCAGGCCAGCGCTGGCTTGTCTGAGGACTGGCGCCAGCATTACTAGCTTCGTTTAAACCTTGCTTAATAACAGCATTCCACTTTATTTATAACTAGCTGTGCCCGCGACTTTCTTCGCATGGATTATTTGTCTTCGGTTGTTTTAAAGCCGAGTAATTTGGTAATTTCTATATATCAGCTTATATAATTTAAATATATAGCTTTATTACTATAAAGTTTCATTACTTTATTTTAGTTTAATAAACTGAACTACTGCTCCAACTTATACGTTTCTGTTTTATTTTTACTCATTCTTTAATTTAGTATGTGTGCTTATATTTCTGGCAAATAAATTCATTTCTTTTCTTTCCTCTCTTCCTTTGTATACGTATAAGGTGCAATTTACACAAATAATAAATAAAAAGTATAATTGACACAAATGACATAAATATTATACGGAAACAACCAATATTGATAATATCAAGTGCGTGGATGACAAATGCTGAGGGTTCCGTATAATATATTGTATTTGTACTAAATATGCACTAAGATACGAAAAATGAACTATGTAAGGGAGTTAACAGTTACGGTAAATTATAAAAATTAAAAAAATAAAAATGACCATGATGAATAATATATGTCTTCTTATTTTTTTTAATCTTTATTTGCAAGAATATGGTTGTATAATGGTCTTTGAGTATAATTCGTTCTACATATTCTACCGTAGTGGTGTACAAATATTAATGGTCAAGTAACCTAAACAACAATACTTATCGAATTTAACAACATATATTAATTTAACAAAATATAAAATTATTTAATATTATTTACTTGATTTGATAATTAATTTATTATGCCACAGTGTCAGAAATAATATAAGTAAGCATTATTATATCAAATATATTATTATATGTCAATGCAATATATTAATTATTATTCTTACGTCAATAATTATAATGTTACATATCCAATTGTCATTAATTTCTTTCTATTTTTAATAAGTCAAATTTTATAAAAAATAATATGAAAAACATTTTTTTTAAACATTAGAATCTTGTAATTACGTAATTAATCATCATTCATTATTACTCGTATATCGTTCTTAAATTATCATTCATTATTACTCGTATGTAGGTCGTTGTCGTTTAAGAACTCTTCTACAGAATAATAACATTTAGGGAGCAACAATGCCAAAACAGATTTCTTAAATGACAATAAACTTTTACGCTTTAAATTATCAGGTAATTTATTATAAATTCTTATCGACATTGCAGAAGCATTTCTTTTTGTAACTTTTAGACGATTTGCTGGTGCATATAACCTATTCTTGTATCTACCCTTACTTTCATTCATATCACACTTACATTGAAATAAATGTGGATGCTTATGAAGAAACATGCACATTTCAAATATGTATAATGAAGGCAAAGGCAGGATCTTTTTAGTTTTGAACAAAGGTTTGCAACTCACTAAAGGACCAACACCACAAAGAGCTCTTAAGCAGCGTTTTTGTGCTTTAAATGTTTTATCCGAATCCACCGAATACCCCCAGAGTAGAACACCATATCGTAGTATGGATGAGATATATCCATGATATGCCACCAGTGCAGCTCTTTCTGATACAATATTTCTTAGTCTATGCAATGCAAAAACGAAACGATCTATTTTAGTACAGAGGCTTTCTATATGAGGCTTCCAACTACAAAATTTATCAAATATTATTCCTAGAATAGTCGTGGTCGTTTTAAATCATTTCTAGTGATACATTCTTTTAGACTGCCACCACATCACTAGTTTTCATTTAATAGGTTAGGTATAATAAAATAGTACTAGAAAATGAAGTCAAATCCAGTAGAACATTAAAGACTTCTTAAAATGAATCCGACTATTTTCTGCCTTACCCAAAAAAAAATTAAATTGTATGTCGTTTGGTTACTACTGTTGAAACATATTACGCTTCGTGCTTCATTATATTCTCGGGCTTTGACTACCTACCTCATTACTCTAGTGGTCTTAAACGCGATTAATGATCAGGGGGTTCCGGGGTCGTATCCCGGGTCGATTCAAACTCAGTTATAGGGCTTTACTAATCTTTAATTCTCAGGAGCAGCCCGGAGTTAGGATATTAGCGGTGTTTCACTCCCGTGCCTTGGAAAGCACGTTAAGCCTTTGGGTCCTGCGCCTGATCTCTCTCCGGTCAGGTCGGATACCGTCCCATCGTAATATGAGCCCTTTTGGCACTTGTAGAAAAAGGGGAGATCTCTCGTCAGGGGGAAAGGTGATCACTGATTTGCCCGGGGAGCAATCAATGCTCCGTGTATTTGTACAGAGCTGTTCTATATATAGCGCAGTACTTCTAAACTTTGATAGCGTGATTTAGGCCTCGGTGCGCTTCGCTTGTGGCGCAAAGATAGCGTTGCCACACTGTCACTCTCATTGAAGATGTGTGTCATATATGTGGAGATGTCACCTGTGCCTGCGCATACACTCGGACACCATAGACATGTACTACGCAGATGGCTAGTCTCCGTTTAGAACGTAATTCAGTCTGGAGGAACTGATGACCGTAATTTGTTTATTATTCATAATCTTATTGTGGCTCAATACTAACTCCTATCAGTGATATTAGCTCTACTTATACACATTTACACATAAATAAAATCAAAGTATCTGTCTGTAATATCTAAATAACTGCCTTATATTCACCTAAGAGGTTTTCTTTAAATATAACTTAATATATTATTCACTCAATATAAGGCAGTTATTTTGATATAATATACAATTTTATTTATATGTATTTAGGTATGTTTAGGATATATACAATATTACCCAATATATTCAGTCTTTGTTCGTAACTGCGTCGGCAATCCAGACATAACTTCAGGCATTTCGTAACAGATAAGATATAAAAATTGTTTTCCCTTGGTAGTGTTTTTAATCATAGTTTCATCCCATGGGTGTCTAAGAGGCAACTAGGGCAAATGCTTTCCGGCCAACCGGATACCATCGGATATTTTTCGGAAGCGGCCTTCGACCGAAGGTATAACTATACGACTAATCCCAGCGTGACGGCTGCAGCAAATCCCTATAACGGACGAGGCTCATTTCCAGTAGAAAAATTTCACGAGCTGAAGAAGATAATGAGAAGTAAAATACTTGAAAAAATATTAATGACTGACCGAAGTAACTCCCAATCCATTCGCCCGCTCAGGTTGATTTTACCTTATTAAATGTAAGGGAGGCGTCAAATGCTATGTTCAAGTGACATGTTACCTGAAACAAAAGAAAATAATATAAATATGTTACATTTACTTACACATTAAAGCCTTGCATATAATTTTACTACTATTTGTTTTACACTAGTGGTCGCCGGACATTTCAAGTAAGTTGTTATATACACGCATATTTAATAAACACAATATAAAATAAACGCTTTTTTTACATATTACACACTATTGAAAAAGTAATATTTGAAATTACACAAAACTCACAGCTTAATCAGTCAATCAAAGTACTCACCTCAGTGCGTGCAATATACTTAAAGGGGTACCAAGATTTCCCTTCAAGTATTAATATATAGAAAATATCTTACACAACAAATTTTCTTAAAGTCTGTGTTTATAAATATAGCGTTATTGCAAAAACAACAAAACCTAAAGAAACAAATTAATTACTGATTATTTATATTATTCGTTAAAGAAAAATTTAAGAAATTCAAGTCAAACCATAGTCGCAGTTCACAGTGGCAAGTTCAGTCTAACATTTCCTATATGCAAACTATTGCTCCACTTGTCAATCTCATCTCTATCTTGACTAATGAGCGAATTTTATGATCGACCCCGAGTGGTAAATTCATTCATATAAGCAGAACCAAATCCTACAGACTGGTAGCAGCAGCATGCATGGGCAACTTTTTAAGCAATTGACAACGTTGATGAACTCCTTAAAACACTTTATTGTAATAGTCGGTACAAGTCACTCGAAAAAACGGTGAAGCGAATTTTCTACATTCTCATCGATTGTCGGTACTTCGGGCTATATGACCGGCTCTTTGCCACTTCAGTTTACTGATTCGTATATAAAAAAAATAACTTAGAAACCAAATAATTGTAGGGAAGCGCCGTTAAAATTCATCTTATATCCGTTCAATTTGTTTAAATTCTTATAAATTCAAAGGTTTCAAAAGAAAGAACTAAAGTTTAAAAGAAAGTTATAGAAGTAAAGATTATGATATTGTAATTAATATGATTATCATAGAGTTAAAGTAACTTCGTATACAATTCACTATGCCCGTAAATTCAAGCTGGTGTTGTGTACTCATACAAGATGTTAAGAGGGGCCTTGAAAACAACCCTGACCGTACCTTACTACACGTTATAAAATTAACCTCAAAGTCGAAGCACACACAAACCGTGGCAAGTTCAAGTGAATATCGATCCAGGTGTTCGGGCGTTTCCGTCACCATTCGGTCGAGTTGCCCCTTGCATTAACATCGTTCGAAACAACTGTAGACTTGCTTGTAGGAAACAATAACAACCAAAATAATTAATCACGTACACACTTTCCTTAAACTGTGAACAATCCTTCAAATTTCAAGTCACGGAATTAAGAAAAATGTACGAGATTTCTTTTTAATACCTATTGTGACGGCTCATCATTATTATTAATAATTAATAATCAATTTCTATATGAGGGGACATCAAAAAATTAGTCTCAA